ACGACCCGTTTTACGTGAAGTGGCGTAAAACTCGGTGAAAAACACGATATTCAACGGCTGTACTAGTCGTGAAATATGTTTTTTCACTAGTGTTTTTCATATCACTAGGGTGAAACTCCAATATTAACATAACGCCATATTGTGAGGTAATCCAAAGTAAATAATATATCACATATATCAATAGCTTCAGTACATTGTATATTACAATGCTCGTGTTGTGGTAGTTATAGATTTTTTTATGAGTATCAAATCAACGTAGGTATGGCGGTAGCATATTGGTAACGAAGGACCATAGGGTGTTAGAAAGGGCCTATACGATAGCCAGGGGAGAGGAGACCAGCACGAAAGTGCGCAGGGCGGTAAGTACTCTCAATGGCAGTGTTTGCACTACTGTGGATTTGGTTGGAGTTCATTTGTTTAGTAACAGTTTACGCTACGAAAATTAGAAACTATAGTTTGTTTACTTGGTATTCTCAGTATTCTCCTATCACTGGAGGAGTTCTCGTCCCAGTTTCCAATGTTTGCCTTGTGTATTGCTCTCTGTTGCTGATAATTATTCTCTTTTAAGGTGCCTGTGCAAGGGGAGTCAGCGGTGTATGCGGAGAGGCCGCCGCTGCTAGGCGAATTGGCGACTGCAGCTCTGCAGGGCGATGATAATGATGACGATGATGACGGCGCGGCGTCGCAGTCCTCGGAGATTGCATCGGAGTGATTCATAGAATAGATATAGGGCTTCTGCTCTTGAAGATTCAAATGATTCTTAATATCAATATGATGATCGATTTCTGATGTAACGGTTGTTGTGTTAGTAGTGGTGGAAGAGTGTACATTGAGACGTAACATGCGCGACTTGATATCAGTGGATTGTTCATCGTGTTATGGTATGAGTTCTGAATTGCGCGATAAAAGAATATGCGAACGAAGGCGTTGTTAGCATCTCAGGATGGGTGATTTCATACGTTGTTGTCGTAACTGTTTTCTTGAATCATCGCACTGCTGTGAAGGTGTGTGGGAGTTCTCGAGGGTTATCACTGTGTCTCGTCCGCTTGTTTATTTCCTAGGAATATATCAATATGAATATATATAAAATATGATGGAGTTCCTTGCCCGTTTTGCGAGGGGTGGTGTAATACTCTGTGAAAAACGCTATGCAGTGGGCGAAAAATATTTTTTTCACTAGCGCTTTTTCATATCACGGGTGAAACTCGAACATATTCAATAGATTTCTTATGAATATATTGAAGTCGTTATAATATTATGATGTTGATACCACTCCTCGGTGAACATCAGAATAGTAGGTGTCCATATCGAGAAGATTAGTTTAGACGTGTTTATTCGTTACTATGCCATCGCCCTCATCTCGTACGTTACTCTCAGCACTCACAGTTGATACGCTACCCTTCGGTCAGTACACAGTATCGAAGCGAGAGCTATTCGGGCTTACTGAACACTCCTATGCACTTGTTAATCTAAAACCTGTTGTGCCAGGCCATGTACTGGTAAGCGTCACCAAACGTATCGTTTGATTATCGTCATTGATTCTCCCTCGTGACCGCGCGCCATTTAATTCCGAGCACCTTCGCACGTCGAAAACTCTACACATAAATCGGGTTTTCTCAATGTCGTTATGACGCGGCGCTACATTGCTAGATTGGTTTCGAATTTTCGGCGGAGCGTAGCAGTGTTGTGATAGCATAAAGTTGGTTCAGGTGTGTAGTCGTAGACCAGTTGGCCGCCTCCATGATCTGTCCCCTATGGAGCTGGCGGATTTATGGCAGCTTGCAACGAAGGTTGACAGGTGCCTTCTGAGAGCATTCCCTGATATGGACTCTAGCACATATGCTGTACAGGTGAGTGGATATGTCGCGCGAAATTACGTTCGATAGCAAGTACTGATGAATTTTGCCGTATAGAGAGGCCTTCATTAAATTTCAGGGGAGTTCACGGTGTGTTGGTATGGCACTAAAAATCAACAGCCGGTTCGTCTAAGCATTGAATCAGTATGATTCTGAATCAGGACGGCCCTTCTGCTGGGCAAACTGTTGAACACGTCCACATCCATGTTATGCCTAGAGGACCGAAGGACGCCTTTAATTTGCAAGGAGAAAATGATAAGGTCTACGATGGTGAGCCGTCGTACACTTACCTGTTGTGATGGTTGCTCATGTGTAGCGATTCAAGACAACGAGCGACAGTGTGTTCGAATGGACATCCCCTCGGACGAGGAGCGGAAGCCGCGTACAGAGGAAGAGATGTTCGAGGAAGCTGCGATGCTTCTCGAGATCATGGATGAGATTGAGAGAGAGGATGCCTGACCTAAGTCAAGAATAAAACTGCCACCTAGTTTCTGCGACTCAGACGTTTGGTGTTTATGTGAATTCAAAGTCGGAGTAACGATTTGTTATGAAGAAAAACATGTGGAAAAATTTCTGCGCTATAAACACTCTGAGAAAAGATGTTAGTGAACTATTGACAGCAATTGTAGAATGCATCACAGAAGAGGCGAATTTGAACCGACGATACCACTCCGCACACAATTCATAAAATAACGAGATTATACCAATCGCGAAGCACCAGGGCATTTCTCTAGCGTGTTGCGCTGAAGGCTGTCTCCATTTGGGTGCTCCAATTAAGCCTAGCGTCATTCGGACGCTAGACGGTAGCATCATCATTACGTCGAATTCATCATTCGCAGTATTTAAGTTTCATCGTGGATGTCGGACTCTATCTCCAGCAGCAAACCATACACGTGGACTGACGTCTCGGGTAACGTGTATCGATACTATAGGCATCCTATGACTAAGGCTGTCTTGTTCGTTTTACTACAAGAGTTATGTGAGCGTCTGGCCTTCTACGGCTTGATGCCCAATCTCCAGATCTTCCTCAAGGAGTACCTCGGGGTTGACGATGCTGGTGCTAACTCCTACATATCGACTTTCAACGCTATCTTGTATGTCACTCCACTGTTATCTGCTGTTATATCGGACACAATACTCGGGCTTTATCTCACTATTCTGGCCTTCTCCTTTGTGTATATGGCGGGTTTGGCTCTCCTTACGCTCTCTACGATACACTCGATCAGTCAGCCTTGGATGATTCACGTCTCGCTGTTGTTCCTTATTGCTTTTGGTGCTGGTGGTATCAAGAGTTGTGTGAACGTTATGGGAGCCCAACAGTTCCATCCTGAGGAGCATAAAGAACTAATTACGAGGTATTACACCTACTTCTATGCTTCTATCAATCTTGGTTCTATTGTTGGTGGTATTGTTACTCCGATTTTGGTGGAGTCGGTCTCGTTTACTGCGAGTTTTTCCTTCCCTTTGGTTGCCTTTATCATTGCTACTATCGTTTTTGTGGCTGGCAATCTAATGGGACGCTATGTGAAGCCGAAGCCTCAAGGTTCGGCTGTTCTTGAAATTCTCAAGGTCATCTTTTTCTCTGTCACAAGATGCTCTCTGGAAAAGAACAAGGAGTCTAACGGTGGTCGTTTCAAGGATGGTTTCATCGAGGATGCAAAGGCATTGTTCCGACTGGTGCCTTTATTTTCCCTCATTATCCCTTTTGTTATGGCCTATAACAATATGACTACTGCGTTCTTGACACAGGGCAAGAAAATGGACACTAGCCTCTTCGGTTGGCAGATGCCAGCTCAGATGATGCAGAATGTCGATCCTATCGCTGTTGTTCTAACCAGTGTTTTGGTTGATACGGTTTTATTCCCTTTCCTAAAGAAGCGTAATATGATGCCCCCAGTGTTGGTTCGTTTTTGCATTGGTTCATTGTGTGGCGCTGCCTCCCTGCTTGTGGCCCTCGGCGTGGAGTACATGGTCATGTCGAAGCCTGTCTTTTCTGTCTCTATTTGGTGGCAGATTCCTCAATTTTGGCTTATCGCTGCAGGTGAGATCTTCCTCATCTCAACTTCATACGAAGTTGCATTTACTCACTCCCCGGGTGCACTTAAGGCCGTTGCCTCTGCCTTCAATTTGTGCTTCTTTTCCATCTCTAACGTTCTGTCAGCTACGCTTTTCCAAATCTGTGAAAGTTGGCTGCCTAATTTTGATATGGAGAATCCTTCTCAAGAGGCCGTCACCGATGCGCACTATGACTACTATTATATGGTTCTCGTGGCGTTATGTATTGTTGGTGCCATTGCTTCTGTGTCTATGATACCTTACTTTAATAAGGTTTCTGCTAAGAATGCTGCGAGGAAGGCTGAGGCAGAACGTGAGGCGGTGAAGGTGGAAGAAAAAGATGATGAAGTTGCTGTGAACGTTTAAATGTTAGATTCCTTTAATTATTGTCATGACACCAATGTATAGTTGGCGAAGTCGTTTTTATTGCTATTAATGAAGATATCACAGGAGTATGGATAAAATACCATCGGACTCCTCTGTTGCTAAGTCGTTGTTTTCTGGTGTACATCAGGTCTTCCAAGTGTCGAGATTATGTTGCTTAGAGCATATCCTTGAGTATCTTGAGGTTGAGGCTCTTTCCAATGTTCTCTGTGATATTAGTACGGGTTTCTTGTTATTATTTCCCTAGAGGTTGTGTTACAGTAGTAAGGAGGAAGATCACACGAAGGCTGCTAGTCGTCACGTATCTCTTACGCACATCTCGAATATGGTAAATTTCGAGTAGTGTGCAATATATAATCAATGTACTTTGAATGCAGTGTATTATGATCTAATGATGAATGTTCTGTAATATCGTCATTTTAACGGAGAAGCAATTCACAGGAAAATATATTCGGCGACACAGGAAAATATATTACGACACTCATAACTTATTTTACATATAAACTCATTAGTGAACAACGCGAAATCAGTAATAACTTTATATGTATTTGTCGCGAGCATTGTCATTAGTAGATGAGACCAATTCCATGAATGAAATTAATTGATTTTTGTGTACTCCACTTGTAACACAAGAAGCGAAGGAAAGGTTGGAAACGTGGGAATAATATTCCTTTTCGTATTGATAGTTAGTTTGAGGCGATTCCACTAATGAAATTGTACAATGCACGGTGTTACTAGCAGTAGTTCGATAAAGACGGTCGACTTGTTCAATATTGGGAGAGTAGTCACAAGTGGGTCGAATTAGTGTCTTTCAACCAGAGAAAGAATTCAGACCCAAACGTCCAGCAGAATGTACAAATAGCAGCTATTCTTCCACACTCGTCTGGCGGACCCACAGGGACTTACAAAGGCCCTGCTATAGGAAGTCATACCACTCCTTTGCTAAATTAGAGGAAGACAGATAGAGCGTTGATGACAGTAGTGTTGATGAAGACTACTGAGTGAAAGTCACGACTGCTACCACTACAATATCAGCACTTTCCTCTATTTCCTATTTAACTACTTCGAATTGGCATGACTACTACGGGAGCGGAAAAATTCGAGATTGAAGCTGTTAACAACAGTGACGAGTGATGCATACGAGTAGTAGTAATAATGACGATACTAAGTCAACTGGGTGACGCGATGAGACATTCCAAATGCAACGAAGACGATGACTGCTAGTATTGATAGTAGTAGTATCATTATTCAATCTCAAGAAGGCCCACAGGAAGGAGTTCTTCGTCAGCCGTGGACGGCGT